GTTTTTTTTCGCTCGTTATCACCGTTTCAGCTGCCTGCACGGCTCGCAGTCAGACCAGACCAGGGGCCCCCAAGTGACCTGCTCCCCCCGCAACCAAAACCCTAAACCCTAAACCCTAAACCCTAAACCCTAGCTTGCTTTTGAGAGTATAATGAAAGCAATTTGGCCCCCTTCTTTGCTCGTATCCCCCTGAAGATGAACGGCGGTGGGGGGTAGGTTCAGAGCAGCAGCAACAAAAGTATGCAGCACACGACAGGGTATGGGGGGCCCCGCGTTTCACAGGGCCCCTGGGGGCCCCCAAATGTGGGTACTGCATAGTTTGTTTGCATGCGCTCGTCAGGGCACAAAGCCCCAAAAGCAGAGCAGCAAAAGATATGTTACACTGGACCCAGAGACAGAGGGGGCCCCCCTGTGCAGGGGGCCCCTCTGGGGGCCCCCACTGGGGCCCCTAGAAGGGTATTAGGGGCCCCCATAGGGGGCCCCCTCCCAGCGTGTAGGGTTATGGTGAGAATATATTTTGGGTTTGAGTCTCTCATGTTCTGCATGCAGCCACTTGGCTATTTGTGTGGGAGGGTGTCTATACACCCGAAAACCCTAAACCCTAAACCCTAAACCCTTTGTTTTGCTTCAACTATCTCCAGCTANTGTCTATACACCCGAAAACCCTAAACCCTAAACCCTAAACCCTTTGTTTTGCTTCAACTATCTCCAGCTAGAGAAGCACAACACCAACGAAAGTCCTTTGGGTAAGAAGACTGAGAGGAGCAGGGGGCCAGGTGGGGGGGCCGCCCGCACTGGGTGCAGCATTCCCTGGGTCTGTATACAGTGTAACAAAACAAGCTTAGGGTTTAGGGTTTAGGGTTTAGGGTTTAGGGTTTGGGTATTAGGGTTTAGGGTTTAGGGTGTAAACTCAAAGGATTTAGAATTTAGTGGATACGGTCGACCGTCTAGGGCTTAAAACCTAGGGTTTAGGGTTTAGGGTTTAGGGTTTAGGGTTTAGGGTTTTCATCGTCACTTACTGAGAAGGTGTTCGATATTTCTCTCTAGGCTGAGTCGGCAGCCCGCTCTTTAGGGCCCCCGCATACCCTTCTAGCGCAGAGGGGGGCCCCCGCGATGGGGGCCCCCTGGGGGCCCTGCAGGGGGCCCCTTTGGGGCCCCTCCTGGGGGCCCCCATTGAGCAACCTCTCGGGGTCCCCCGTACCCTCTCGGCAGTTGATTGCCTCAGAATGTATGGGGGCCCCATTGCTGCTGCNTGCTGCTGCTGCTGCTGCTGCTGCTGGGGTTGACGCGGGAGCGTCGCGCTGCAGCACCGAGCGGATGCTGTTGCTGCTCTTATATACTCCTTCGGCTCGAGTACCAAGGAGGGTTTGCCTGCAGCAGCAGCAGCAGCAGCTGCTGCTGCTGCTGCTGCTTGTGCTGTTGCTGCAAGCGTCGTGATAGAAGAACCCTCACCTCCTGTGCAGGGTGTATGAGAGCAGGGGCCCCTTGAGGAGTAGCTGCAGCTGCAGCTGCAGCAGCAGCAGCAGTTGCTGCTGCTGCTGTTGCTGCTGCTGCATATCTTCTCTGAGGCAGAGGCCGGCTGGCAGCGGGAGGCAGCTGAGTGGAGGGGCCCCCCGCAGCTTCTGCTGCGCATCGTGCTGCAGCACGGAGACTCATACTGCTGCTGCTGCTGCTGCTGCTGCTGCTGGGTTGCTGCTGCTGCTGTTTGTGTTGCAGCATGTCTTGTGGTATCTAGCTGCACATAAAAGCGCGCCCTCTTCAGATCTTCAAATAAGTGTTTAGTATTCAGAGTTTACTATCGAGGGTTTAGGGTTTAGGGTTTAGGGTTTAGGGTTTAGGGTTTTCTTACTGGGGTGTTTGTCTGTGCGTTTGTCTCCCTGAAGGTCCCCCAGTGTATGGGCCCATACAGCTGGTAGCCGCCGCCGACGCGCTGCAGCAGCGCTTCGTTGCGTCTCCTCCCGAGGCCCCCCCTTGAGGGCAAGAACCCCCGCACCTGCTGCTGCTGCTGCTGCTGCTGCTGCTGCTGCTGCTGCTGTTGTGGGACGCTTGCTGCAGAAGCAGTGCGACGCACGTGCTGCGGGCCTGGCTTGCTGCAACAGCAGCAGCAGCAGGAGCGAGAGCTTCGGCAAAGACTCCAGTACTCCTGCTGCTGCTGCTGCTGCTGCTGCTGCTGCTGCTGCTGCAGTCTGCAGGATGCATGCACCGAGCAGCGGGGACGCGGGGGATCGTCTGCTCCCCTGTCTACCCCCACCGTCATCGTCTGTCTGCAGTGGGCCCGGGGCCCCCTGGAGGCCCTCGCAGACTCCAGGGCCTCGCGATACGCCAGAGAGCAGTACTCGCGCGTCACTGCAGCAGCAGCAGCAGCAGCAGCAGCGGTAGCAGCAGCAGCCGTAGCAGCACAGGTAGCAGCAACAGCAGCAGCAACAGCAACGGAAAAAACGGGGAGTGAAATGCAGCAAGAAAAGCCGGGATCTTAAGGGCTTAGGGTTTAAGGGTTTAGGGTTTAAGGGTTTATTTTTTAAGGGTTTAGGGTTTAGGGTTTAGGGGGGATAGGCCTCAGAGTATATCCTGCCTTCATCAGCACACGGCAGCGAAGGGACAGAAAAGCAGCAGGGAGGCTCCTGCAGCAGCAGCAGCAGCAGCAACAGTAGCAGCAGCAACAGTAGCAGCAGCAGCAGCAGCAGCAACAGCAGCACTGCTTCCGTCGAGCCTCAAGTTAACGCTAGCACCACAGCAGCAGCAGCAGCAGCAGGAGCAGCAGCAGCAGCAGCGGCGGCAGAAGCCGCAACAGCAACATCGTACGCAGCAGCAACAACTGGTATAGCAGCAGCTGCTCAAGAGGCAGCAGACCGAGAGGGAAGATGAAGAGAAACGCCAGCAGCAACGATAACAGAAGCAGCATCAGCAACAGCATCAGCAGCAGCAGCAACAGCAACAGCAGCAGCAGCAGCAGTTTACTGGTGCATCTGCTGGTTTTGGTGTTCTTTGGGGGGCCTCTGGTTGCTGCTGCGTCTGGCTAGCTGGGGTGTACGCCCAGCTAGCCACCCAGCGGTGCCCCCGGTAGTCATCTCTGTAAGCGGTGAGATAGGGGGCCCCAGCTGGGGCCCCAGCTGCTGGGCTCGTGGTGGGGGCCTCCTCCCTGCACAGCGAGCAGCGAGCAGCGAGCAGCACGCAACGGGGATCGATGGGGGGGTGGGGGGGGGAGACGATCCCAGGGTTTAATATTTTTTTTTTT